CCCAATAAAAGGAACGAAACGTCCAACTTAGTTAAATTAAGTTCTACTTCTTTTTTTGATGTCCAAGTTCCCTGTGATACATTATCATTAAGAATTGTATTTTTGGACAAGAAAAATAACTGATTAAATAAAACTAATAATCGTGAGTTAAAAAAGTGACTAATAAAATGCACAATCACAAAAATTGAAACTGTTATTATTATTATGGATTATTTTGGTGAAAGTTAAAACATGTAAATATATAGATACGTGTAGACTAACGAGACTAACCGATACTGGAAACCACTGCTAAGAGCCCATATATCACACTCCATTATGTTTTCTACATCGGACGAATGTCGTTGTCTTCTCCGTTCCTCCGAAATTCGAAACCATGTCGAAAGGGATAAGGGTGATACTATGTCGTGTAAAGGGGTAAGGATGAAAAGGGAAGGGGTGAAGAAAAGAAAACGTACGAAATGGCCGATGACTCTCTCTCTCTCTCTCTCTCTCTCTCTCTCTCTCTCTCTTTTTCTTTCTCTTTCTCTCTTGTTTTCGTTTCCACTTATTCTTTTTCTTTCCCTTCTTGTTACACTATGTAAGCACATGTACATATGTATCTATGCATATGTATGTACTTGATACATCGAAATAAGATAGAAAGAATATTCTACTACTAAAAATCGAGGATCAGCAATTGTCGATCAGACGCCAAGGACTCACTCGCAAAATAATGTCGTTCACCAATATTTCATCTTTGTCCTCTTTCGTTGATATTCCTACGGTCATTTTAGTCTCATGGGGTTTTACTTGCAAGAAAGAGAATTCTATTATTTCATTCCGTACAGATCGTTACTCTTATCGTCTTTATCGATTATTGTACCAAAGTCTAATATAAGAGAATTTCGAAATTGAGGAATACGTATTCTCGCCCATAAATTATCTTGTTTTGCTCGCTATTTCATAAGAAAAGAAGAAAAGAAAGAAAGAATGAAATAAAGGGACAATGATAGGAAGATTTTAAAAGTCAAAAATGTTAAATGTAATTAATGTCGGAAAACATTGTCAACGTGAAATTAATAAAAACAAAAAAGAAAAAAGGATATATTTAATCCAACATATAGTTAATTTTAACCGCACGCAAAATAGGATTTCATTTCCGAGACAAAGTATGTTATTACGAAAGTAGTTTCCTCGCTAACACAATTTCTTGAAATTTTCTTGGAACGGAGATTGTACAACAAACATGCACAGAGAGTATGCATTTCCGTCTGTAAATAAACTCCGTCTCTAAGATAAAGATCTTGTTGGAACTCTATAGAGAAGATGATCCTTTTACAAGGACGCGAACGAAAGTAAGAATAAAGAAAAAAATATAATAAAATAAAATAAAATACAATAAAATGAAATCAAATATAAAAGTAAGAAAGTTTTTAAAAAACGAAACACGTACTCCTTGCCGTATTTTCAGTATCACTGTTCCGCCATGCGAGACGACATAACTACGGAGCATTAATGTCTCATCGATCCTCAGCTTTTTTGCGGGAACGTTTCTCGAAAGCACGAGATCGAGAATGATTCTTCTTACGGCTATTGTATCCCGATACCGTACTTCACGTTCCCTGGACAGTTATCGTCTTTTTCCACGGTAATGGTGATACGACGATATTGAAACGTTCGAAGACATAAATCAGAATGAATTAAAAGCAAATATCGCTCGTTCTGACCCTTTCCAGCAAGATGTCCAATAGTACAGCCACCAATAACAGAAAGAGAAGCACTTAGATCGTTTTATGCATGCTGCACGTATCCATTATATTATATTTCTAGTGCGTACATTTTTCGATACACCATAAACATATATATTCATACATTTTTGTTCTCTTTTTCTTTCTCTCTCTCTCTCTATATATATATATTTTTAAGTCAATAAAGAACTTAATAAGATATATATTGAATTGCACTTACGAATCACTTTTTGTGTACCAACCAACTTCGACATAGATAGTGCTTTTCACTTGATGCCCTCTCTGATATCAAGATTGAAAAGTGGTTCTCTTTTTCTTCTTCTCTTCGATCGCATGATCGTTTCCAAGTAGACAAAAAGAAACTACTCTTATCGGTGAAAAGAGTTTACCTATAACCCTCCTTCTAAAAAGTAAATATTATTTACCTTTTCGCGTTTTGATTTCTAAAACGATTGAAAAATCATATTTATCACGTTCTATTTAACTATTTTTCATTTTAATGCAATTTTATTTCTTCTTCTTCTTCTTGAAGATAAATTGAAAACAAAAATAAATGCCTAGAAAGCATTTGAATAAAATTGTTTAAACTTATGCTAAAATTTTCAACGACAACCTCTCAAGAAAATAATCGAAAATAAAACTAAGCCCAATTCTTTAGCCGCGTTATTTCTTTATTACATTTTTCATCAATTTCAAATCTTTATCACTGGATAAAAATATGCTTACCACACCGGACACAGATACCAAAACCAAAGTGAACTTTCGTATCCAAGATTGCATCGTATCAAATAAAAATAGAGAAAGAGAGAAAGAAGGAAATGGAAAACAGAAAAAAGAAAACAGAAGACCGGAAAAGCGTATGGAAAGTCATACATATCTTGTTCATTCCATTTCACTATTTCTCTCTCACCCTCTCTCTCTCACACCTTTCTTTAAATTTTATAGCGAATAGCGTCAGTACGCACGCGAGGCATTAAGCGTTCTCTGTTTTATTTTTCTTTGTCGAAGACGAGGTAAAGGAGTCGTATATAGGCCGCTGACGATGACGATGAAGACGACGACGTGTGTAAGGGAAACTCGAAGTCTCGGCGGAGGGCTTCGAGAGATATAACAGGCAAGCAAGCAAGCAAGGCAAGCAAGCAAGGCAAGGCAGGCAGGCGGGTTCCGTGTGTGTATAAAAAGAGAAAGAAAGAGAAAAAAAGAGAGAGAGAGAGAGAGAGAAAGAGAGTAAGAGCAGACGTGTCGCGTCTTTGGATTCTCGCAAAGATGGACGGTATAAGTGCACACTCTTTCTCTCTCTCGCACTCGTACAGTCTGGCGCACTTAAAAGGTTAAGCGCGTAGTCGGGAGGCCGGCAGGTTGAATATCTCGGTGGTGTTGCTGGCGTCCAGCGACAGCAACGAGTCGCGATGGCTGAGCAGTGGGGGATGGGAGGTGGGGGTGGGATAGGGTGTGTGCGCGCGCGCGCGCGCTCGAGTAAGCGAGCCAGAGAGGTCAAAAAGAGAGTACTGACTGGTTGGCGGGGGTAGAAGGCGGAAGGCAGACGGGCGGCAGACAAACCCGTGCTTATCCCCACCGAACGAGCAACCCCACCGGTCCGTGACTCACCAAACCGTTAAGGGATGAAGCCGCCCTGCTTTTACTCTACGCGCACACACGTGTAACGAGCGTATATCTTTCTCTTTCTCTACATCCCCCTCCACCTTTCTTTCTATCTATCTTTCTTTCTCTCTCTCTCTCTCTCTCTCTCTCTCTCTCTTTCGTTACACGGATCTCTACCACAAGTATTTTACTACTGCATCGTGTCTCGTGTAATCCTTCCCTTTTCTACCTATTCTATAGTTTACCCTTGTCTACTATTATACATACACGTACGTATGTATATACTATCTACATTTACGTGCCGACGATATACACTTCTATTTATACGTCTATATGGAGACAATGAAACGCGGGTGTGAAAAAAAAAAAAAATATATATCTACATATGTTTATACGTAGAAACGTATGTGGCAACCGTATGCTCCTAACCGGGCATACGATATCTCTTCAAACCCCTGTTGAGACTTTTCATTTAAAGCTTGCGCTCGTTGGCGGTTCCGACACCCACATATTCACTCACTCACTCTCTTTCTCTCGTTATACAAAACAACAAAAATGTTTCTCTTTCGTAACTCGTAATTATTTCAAGACATACCAACGCCATGTCTTATATACTTTGATATATACTATATATTGTGTAAGTATGCATATACGGTCTCGGTCCTTGAACGTGAAGTACATCGCGTTCACTCATTTCTTTCTCTCCTTCTCTCTCTCTTTCTCTCTTTCTCTTTCTCGCGTGTCGTCTAGTATGTGAACGCACTCACGAACACGACGTTGTTGGTGATGATCGTGGGAAGGGGTTGTAACGCATTACACGACATGAGCCCACTCCGACCTGGCAGTGTACTGCAATTGGGTGGGGTGAACGTGTGCGAGGGTGAACATGCCGGAGGGAATAAACGAGAAAAAAAGATAAGAGAAAAAGAAGTGCGAGAGAAGTGTGAGAGAGAGAGAAAGAATCAGGACTGGTGGCGTCCAGAAAAATCACTCTGACCACGACGACGTCGACAACTATGGCGTTTTTATTCGCACGTAAGAACATGTAATTAAAATTCGCGTACATTTTGATGCACTCTGAATCTTCATAATTGTTAGCGAATGAATGAACGGAGGATATAAAGGAGGTGAAAAAAAATGACGACAATCTTAATAAATACTTCGTCAATGAGAAGATATCACAGGGAACTTGGACATAAAAAAGGAAGTAGAACTTAATTTAATTAAGTTGGACGTTTCGTCCCTTTATTGGGACTTCTTCAGCAACTTAATCTTTACAGTTCAGCGTCTTTTTTCATTGAGTATACATACATATTTATTTTTATTATTAATATTCAAAACACAAAACATCTAAACCTCGTTAAGTATCAGCTCGTTATAATTTGAAACCCTCAAGAAAACTGTTTCAATCTGTTTCAAACTGTTCAAAATGTTCGTCAATATTCTTATCTTATTATCTCGATTAAATACAAAAATTATAGTTAATACTTTAAAATACATGTAAAATTATAACATATGAACGTGTAATATAATTGAATGCATAATTTAACATTGTGCAAAAATATTCAATGAAATGTATCTTCTTTTCTGTATGGAAATGATCCGACAATGGTTTCGCAACATCTAATGTGTTGTTATAATTATGATAATCAATTACGTTGATGGTTCTAGGACGTACGCTGAACGGACAACCATTACTAGAATTTCCAATGTCCAGCGGCGAACCGGCATTAGAGCCTCTAAGGATCAAACGGGCGACCCTTTGGACACGAGTAGAATACAGACAAGCCCATCACTATCAACATCATCGTCAGGGTCAAAGCAATCAAAAGAACATCACTCTCTGGGTATTTAGGGTGCGTTGTGGCAATACAACGCATTTGCGCGGCAAGGTAATTAAATTTTACGATGAACGAGCATTTCTAGGATACCCAAATGTTTAACACACATATTTTCTCTCTCTTTTTTTTTTAATTAATAATTTAATTTAACGTTAACGCGTAAGGAAACAGGAAATACGCAATAATACAATTTTTCAATAAAAGCTACCTATAGAAAAGAGAAAAAAGAAATATATTTAGAAATGAAGATAGAATTAGAAGTGTTAACATAATTTCTTCGATTTAAGGATCGAAACGTTAACCAATGAAAGCTCATTTAAGCCCACCTTTAACAACTATCCTCGTTTGTTTCACTAGCAAGATATCGATACGTTACGATGGGGGAAAAGTTGTCTACCTCTTTTTATCGGATTTTTCCGACACTAATCCCATCTACTATCTCAAGCTGTATTTATAATAATCCCTTCGATATTATACGCAACGTTCGTGAGGTTTCGTTCGAGCGTACAGCTTCCGCGATATCGTTTGAAAAATAATATTTTCTTGTTTACGTTTAACCCCAAAGTCGAAATATTAAAACGATATATCATTATTTTGACGACATAACGATCGATAAATAAAATATTCGTTAAATCTCATATGTAAAATATTACTTTTAATGAATGAATTTGTTAGAATTATGATGAAAAAAAAATAGCAAATGAATCGTTGATATTTTTAGGAACTCGGGGAGCATCTCGAAATGGTGACGCTCCTAGGCGTGAACATTGGTCAATTGGGCTGGCAGAAGTTCGATGTAACAAAGGTCGTCAGCAATTGGTACACAGCTAACGTGAATTCACCGAGGGATAAACTGACGCTTTTGGTGGACTGCACAGGATGTGGCACGCACGTTCACGTGTCGACCTTCGGCGGGCACTCGCCACACGTGATCGAGTCCTCGTTAAATCCAAAAGGCAAGCAAAGCATAATATCTAATGCTTGAAACACGCTATTCGAGATCGTTCTACTTGATAACAATCGAATTTTCTCATTACGACAGATAACTTTATTATATCTTAATTCATTGTCGCGATATAATATAAACAATATTATTTTGTGATAATTTTTTCGAACGAAGAGTTAAAGAGATCAAAAGGAAAAAAAAAAACAAGAAAAAAGAGGAATATAAATGAAATTCAATCGCAAACATCTATGAAAGATAACCTTATTTCGATTCAGTATCATAACACAGAGCTACTACGAAGTCGTATCGGTTAATATGGCTTCCATAGTATAAAAAAGACTGGTCACATAAAGTTGGGAGGTGATACGATGGAAATAACATTTAGCCTGTATTCCTATCCCCGGTAACTAATTTAAGAAGACATATTGGGATTAACGAACGCGTTTGATTCTTTCTATATGATAATTTGATTCCATGGATTCGTTGGGATCGAGCATACTCGTCTTCCCCTTGCTCCCGCACCACTCTTTCAATCCCCTTCGTAACATTAGTATTCTAGGTTGCTACACTTCCGAGATATATCTACGTACGAAATGGTGCGGTATATTCCGCCGAGATTATTCGGATGTTACGTGTATACTTTTTATTGATTGTCTTGCACCAATACTTACTTGCACTTCAAATCATTCTTCATTCAAAATTCTAAATTATTGTCTCTGATACACATGACACACATCTAATAACTATTGAAATACGATTAATTAATTAGGCAGAAAGATTTGTTCATTTAGTATATTAATAATTCGCATTAATTTATTAAACGTTAATGTTCGTTAAACTAATATATATGAGTTTCAAAGGGAAAATTGAAGAGAGTTAATAAATTTTGATGAACAAATTTATTTGATCTTGTTGACAAATAATTTTACATAGTGCAAGATATAACAAGATCAAATAAATTTGTTCATCAAAATTTATTAACTGTTAATTTATTAACAATTTTCCCTTTGAAACTCATATATATTAATATACTGTTGGGACAAGAATATTGATTATTAAATTCGTTAAACTATTATAAGCAATTAATATGTTAAATATTTAAAAATAATTTATTCATTTAATATTAGGAATTTTATACTTATTTTATATTGTTTTATCTTAATCTTTGTTGAGATTCGCTAATCGAAATTAATTTGATGTAAAATTGTAAATTTCTAACGTAATCGTTAATTAAAACGAGATAGTCTCGGATATTATATACATACGCACATACATACATACATACACGTGGAATGTGACAAACCGAGCACGCTCCAGTATAATCAGCTTTATTTCTTTGGTTCCCTTTATCAGCTTACCTAATCGGCTTACTTCTCACCGACGTATAACCGCGAACGATTAAAATTTTTTGCTACCACGACACGACACTCGTACGATCGACTATTTTCGATCAGTTTTGTTAGAGTTTTTTTATGTTACATGAGGAAAGAATAAAAAAGAATATGTGAAATGGGCATGAAAATGAAATTTTCTATTTTCAACAAAATATTAAAATATCGTGTACTTCAATTAAGAATCAAAACATATAAATAGTATTTACATATACATTACACTAATATATAATTATGATTTTTAGTACTTTTCAATAATCATAAATTTCCTAAGTAGATATATATCGAATTATACTAGTGAAAAATTCTTTTCACAAAAAAATAACATATATTTAATAAATACAATAGATAACTTCAAAATCCGGAATCAAATCTATCCGTATCAAAAAAAATAGTCTTGGTGGGAAAGTGTTTTCAATGATTCGAAATGTTCGTTTTGTTTCTGTTTGCTATTAATGAAATGGATAAATAAATAAATAAATTTAACGTTGATTTTAACATGGATTTCAGATGATCAAGATCCTGACAGGCCTTTCCTCGTTGTACGTACGGATCCAGCGGCTGTGAAACGTGTTAGAAGACGAGCGATCGAATGCAGCGGTGCGATAAAAGGCCAATGCTGCAAACAAAGATTCTACGTTAGCTTTTCACAACTCGGATGGGACGATTGGATAATCGCTCCTCAAGGGTAAGCAATCTCCCTCTTTTTCACTAAATTATGAATTAGTTTAATTACTTATGCAATGCCCAAAATATCTAAATGAGTGAAGGAATAAACAAGAAATATACATATGTATATATGTATGTATGTGTTACCGTTTAAACCATGAAATAATTATACTAACCAGTTGAAATTTGAAAACATACAGAATTACATACTTTTACTAGGTAATATAAAGAAATAATTAATAGATTAGATCCCATAGAGCAGTACTACAAATAAAACACTAGTTTTCAATGTACAGGAAGAGATTAGGACGGATAACTAACATAAGAGTATTGCTGTAAAATAAAAAGCAGATATTAAAGATGAATCAAATTTCAATTTCATGCTTTAACGACTCGCCCTTATGAATTCTTATATTACTTATTGTTAGTTATTTTATAAAACTCTTAATAAGAAGGTATCACAGAGAATTTAGATATCAAAAACAGAAATATTTCTGTCCAAATTCCCTGCGATACCTTCTTATTGAGAATTTGATTTTTGAACGAGAGAAACAACTAATTGAATTTTATGAAACAATTAGTAAAGTATATAATATAATTATCTTTTATGTGCTTTACCAAAAAGGCTTAAATTTTTCATATAAAATCTATGGTTTTCCATGTATTAACAGAATTATACACTTTAATGGTAACATATATACATATATATTCGTATTGTTGAACGATATTGTCAAGTAGCGATTAACACTATAAGCAAGAACATTGAGAAAGAGGAGAGGAGAGAATAAGAATGAGAGAGAGAGAGAGAGAAATAGTATATTCGTTTTTAATCCGATAATAGAGGAACGATCGATATTCACGATCAACGTTGACTTATCGTCTGGCAATCGTATAGAGTCTATGGTATAGACGTCGGGAAAGACGGTCGCTGTGCTTCACAGGGCCGACAGTAGTTTTGCAGAGAACTCGCCATCGCTCGGTACACGTAGTCATTCGTAAGGTATCATGAGAAAGCCCTTAACTCCTAGGCAATTGTTATAAACAGAATCCCACGGTGCGTGTTATAGAAAGAAAGAGAGAGAGAGTGGGAGAATAAGTTATTCCATGCACCAGAATGAAAATTGTTATCAATGGTTACACTCTTAATTGTTAACATTAAACTTGAAACGTCGAAAATTCGACTTTTATCTTGTATCTCTCTCTCTCTTTTATTATTTTTGTCAATACGTTTGCTACTCATTGAAAAGAATATGACTGAAGTATAATGTTTCTGTGTAAATTGTTTTAACAATGTATAAAAATATTGAATTTATTATTGCGAGATTAAAATATGAAAACACAATGAACGGCGTTCGATTAATTGAAAATCTTTGTAATAATCCAATTAGTTGTTTCTCTCTCTCTCTCTCTCTCGAAAAATAAAATTATTAATAAATAAGTATCGTAGGGAATTTGGACATTCAAAAGAACTAGAACTTCGTTTTGATTAATTGGAAGTTTCGTCTCTTTATTAAGACTTCTTCAGCAACTGGAAATTTTATTTTTTTTCTTACTTTTATATTGTGAATTAGATGAGACCCATACATTATAAAATATTAGATGTTACTTTAATCTCTAAAATTCAGCATCTTTTTTTATTTAAACAGACATACATTCTTGTAATATTCAAAAAAAAAACTACACATCTAAACTTCGTTATCTCTTGATCAATCAACAAAAAAAAACAGTTAAATACTCTTTTGTTCTAATTCTTTTTTGAATGTTTAAATTCCTTTAGTAATAATATTTCATCATAATGATCTTAAGTGTTTGTGGGTCGCAGATATTACGCGAATTACTGCAGAGGCGACTGCGCGGCGGGTCACAGAACGCCGGACACGTTCCTAAACTATTACACGCACGTGATCGAAGAATACAGGAAGATGGATCGACTCGCCGGTATGCAGCCCTGTTGTGCACCCCTCAAATTTTCGCCGATGTCGTTGATATACTATGGACCAGACTCAAACATCATCAAGAGGGATCTCCCAAAGATGGTGGTAGACGAGTGTGGATGTCCTTAATTTAAGCTCCGCTGATAGGGAAAAAGAAAAAGAAAAAAAAAAAAAGAAAGTAAGAAAGAGGAAAAAAGAAAAGCAAAAGAAAAAGATAGAACAAAATTGAGCCCTCCCCTGGAAAAAAAAAAAAAAAAAGAAATCCTCCTCCTGCTCTTTATCACGATTTATCGAAGAGCTTTCGACTTCGTACGTTCATCGTTGTCAAACTCTTCGAAAATGAATTCGTGCGAACGCGATCGAAATTTCTCGATAAGAGCTAAGAAAAAATGGTTTCATCGAAAACGCGATCGTGTTATCTGTTATAATTTCGTAACTAAATGATTAGGAGAATTAGAGGAGGGAAATAAATTAGAGGAGGACGAAAAACGAAAAAAAAAAAAAACAGAAACGAAACGTACAGAAACAATACGATGAAAAAAATGACAAAAAAAATAAAATAAAATAAAATAATACCTCCTCGGTCGGTATCTCAGGTGTGTCCGCCATTTTTGAGGTATAATATATTATAAATAATATACATATATATATATATATATATATACAGACGATACACCTATACATACGCGAATACGCGTGACAGACGACACGCAAATATATTATATATAAACGTACCTTTACACATTTACACTTACATACACACGTGTACGACTCGATTCCCTGACGATTTAATCGTTAAATAGAAACGATGTCGCCGCGTGGGAATTCTTATGGAGAGCTTAGTCCATTTCTATTAGTTTGCGATAAAAACGGCGGTAAAGAGAAAGAGTTTAAATAAGATACGACATATTTCTGACTTTTTTTCTCCCGCATTTCGCGCATCTCTACGCGACTCCGCATACGCGCACACGCACATACATACATACGTACATACATATAACAACAATACACGTACACGTATACACGAAGCAAAGATAAACACACGCGCGCGCATTAAAAACCCGCGAGGTGATTCAAAGCCAAGTTATAAGTATTTAAAGATAAAATAAATCAAGAGAGAGAGAGAGAGAGAGAGAGAGAGAGAAAAAAAAAAACAAATACGAGCGTAAACTCTAATGTAAGTGTAAACAATAAAACTCAATCTAATTGCCTTGTTTTTTATGCGAAACGTATGAAAGTATCGAGTAACAATTTAACAAAGTAAAAAAAAATACTATTAAAAATCTCTATATATATATATATTATAAATACTATACATATATAAGTAAATAAAACGCGCGCGAAACGATAAACTTAGCAAGTCAATGGCGGGGGTTGTGGGGGGGGGGTGGAGTTTTCCGGAAGGTCTGTAAGGGAAGGGAAACGTTTATAGAGTTCAAAAAGGCTAAGGAAACAAAATGATTGCTTTTATTACCATTACTATTATTATTGTTATTACTATTATTATTATTATTATTATTATACTATTAGTATAGTTGTTTTAATTGTTTTTTTTATTTTTCTTATGACTATTGTTGTTGTTATTGTTTTCGTTATTATTATTATTATTATTATTTTTTATTTTTTTATTATTATTATTATAACAATCATTTTATCACATATTATCTTTATTATTATTCATTCATGATTATTGTTATTACCGCCGTAATGTTTATTTAATCACAACGATACCTTGAACAATACTATCGCAATTAGTATGATGCGAATTTTGATGAATATTTTTTGCTAATCGTTAATTCGTCATTTATTTACAATTTAATATGAACGATCGATCAACTTAATATTACAACATTTAACGAGAATGATCAAAAAAAAAAAAGCAAACGTAAAAAAGAAGAAAGAAGAAGAAAAAGAAATTCTTAAAAGAGAAGAGGAAAAAAGAAAAATGATTGGAAATGTTTTTTTTATTTTTCTACGTTTCTTTTTTGTCTTTGTATTTTTGAAGAAACAACATCGTATTGTTTATAAAGTAACGCAGGTTGATGATACCTTAGCCTTATTAACAACACAATAATGAAAATATTAGCGCGTACCGAATTGTTACAACCATTTTCACACACAAGGACGAGGAGCGAAGAATACGCGTGAATTTTTTGGCCGGAGGTGGACGTTCGCTAAATTTTTCTCATCTAATTGTAAAACGCGATATAAGAAGACTCGAAAAAGAAAGGGGGGGGGGAAAATAAAAAAGAGGACGAACCTACACACACACACACACCATCGGACACGAAGTAAACAACGCACGCCACTATACACAACACACAAACACACACATCGTACACAAAACACAACAAATAAATACACACACACACACACGCACGCACATTTATATATACCTATATACGCGTGCCGAGTCAACATTATAATTGTAAAGGGCTCCGGAGAGTTTGTAATTAACTTAAAACAAAAGATAGAGAAAGAGAACGAAGAAGAGAAAATAAAACGCGAGCGATGGATAGAAATAAATAGAGAAAGAAAAAGAAAGAGAGAGAGTGAGTGAGAGAGAGGGAGATAAAGAGAAAAGAAAATTGCTAGGAAAGCATATAAGACAAAAAAATGAATAAGAAAATTCCGCGCAGATTTACATTAACATTTACACAAGCTATTTAGTAATATCGAATTTGGAAAGAAACTTTTTCGAAAATAAAGGAAACCGAGAGATAGACAAACAAACAAAACAAAAAAATGAGAGAGATGGATATCTCGAGATTGAGAACAATCGATTAGTAATCTTTTTTTAATAAGATTAGGAGCGAAAAAGTTATTAAAAAAAATGAGATTAGAAAGGACGGAGGGAGAGAGGGAGGGAGGGAGGGGGTAAGAAAAAAGGGTTGAGGCTATGTTAATCGAAAATAATGAACAATAACGAGACAATAAACCGATCGAGGATCTCACACGACACACGTTAAAAGAGTTGCGAACCTCGAGCAACGGAAATATACTGGGGTGATTATTAAATTTCTAATAAGAATTGTCTAAAAAGAGAAAGAATGAAATGAAGAAAGGAAGGAAGGAAGGAAGGGAGGAAGGAAATAATGAAGAAAGAAAGAAAGAAAGAAAAAGAGAGAAATTTGTTAATTTTCTTTTCTTTTCCTTTTCCCATCTCCGGTCCGAATTTATTCACCTCGTTAAATCGTTCCTTTTGTCAAAGGAATCGATTTAATAAGGAGAAGGTGGTCGGACCATGAGTTAGGTGAAAAGAGATTCTTGTATTTCTTTCTTCGACGGGAATGGGATACGAAAGGGCGCAACTAGAAAAGAGTATTATTGCTAATGTGAACGTGGACGATTTTAAATTTCGAGAAAGGTATATTTAAATTTCTGTGGGATAGTTCACCCACGCAGCCTTATTGGGCCTTATTAAGGTATTATCGCATCTTTACTAAATTAACTCTTAAAACTAATGGTAAAGCTTAAGTAAAACAAAGATTAATGAAAAATAATAAAAAAAAAAGTAAAAATGACATAAAAGACGACGGCGAGAGAGAAAATACGACAGCGCGAATATGTAAAAACAAGAGAGCGAAAGAAAGAGAGAGAGAGAGAGAGAGAAAGAGAGAGAAAGAGAGAGCGTATGAGATGCGAGAGAAAGAGTCTTAAATGTACCCATAATTATGAAAGTGGTCTAATTGTAAATTAAAATTAAGAAGAACACGAATTTATTTGTTATTCTGACACACATTTAACATTTTTTAATTAATTCAATTAATTCAATGTGTGTGTGTGTGTAATTTTTTTGGTTACGATATTGTCGAAAATAAAGTTTTACATAATGCTTGTTATTTCAACATTATATGGAAAATTAATTTAATGGTTCGAAAATGTAATCCTTTAAATAATATTTCGAAACAAAAGAGATATATGAGTTAGACCAGTTTCATAATTATGAGCACAAATGTACTTAATACTGTATTTAATCTATTCAATATGCGTTATGAAAAAAGTAAAGAAATTGTGACTCTAGGAAAAGAGATATGTCCAATAGAGAAAGAGAGAGAGAGAGAGAGAGAGAAAGAAAGTGATATGTGGAATTTAAGCTTCCCCGAAGAACAATTTAGTACATTGGTAACGAAAATATATCGTTTTACATTATACGTTTCTTCCAATTATGTATTTACATCAATCTATATTGTCGAAAGAAGAAATAAATAAATAAATTAACAATAATGAAAAACGATAAATTTTCGTTATCCCTACGAGAGTGTTTAAGGAAAGACATGGTGCGTGTGAACAAGAGATTGGGAGAGAGAGAGAGAAAGAGAGAGAGAGAGTGTGTGTGTGAGATTGAACGAAGTATGAAGAGAAAGAGAAAGATAGAGTTTTGACATTTCGCCGTTCATATAGCCAAAAAAACTAATTGCGTCCAAAATAATGTTTAAAAACGTCTTTAAACGAACGTACTTCTAGTATTATTAAGGGAATTTTCTTCAAATTCTTCTTCTTCATCTTCTACTATTACTACTACTACTTCTTTTTCCTATATTTCTTTCGGGGAGAAAAAAAAAACGAAAAAAAAAGAAAAAAATTAAAGCGAGAGAAAGAGAGGGGAAAGAGAGAGAGAGAGAGAGAGAGAGAGAGAGAGAAAATAATAAGCGGCTGGAGCACATGCGAGTACTCCTTTTGAAAAAAAGCCTTTAACGAGCTCAAGGACTGCGTTTATGAAATACCACTCACTTTATTGTATACAAGAGATAAACAATAATTATAATAATTATAAACAATAATAACGATAATAACGATAATAATAATATTAAAGGTAATAACAATAATAATGATGATAATAAATAACGTTTAAAAAAAAATGCGTAAACGAAAGAAGAATGAAAATCGGAACGAGACAAAGAGTCAGAAAGAGAAAGAGAAAGAGAAAGAGAGAGAGGAGAGGAGAGAGAGAGAGAGAGAAAAAGAAGTAATTATATGTATAGATAGAAAGAGAAAGAAAAAGGGCCACAGCGAGTGAGTAAATAATAAGATCAAGGCTCAAATTGATTTCGCGATCAATCTCCTCCCTGATCTCATCGGAGATCTAAACAGAAATCCAGCGCACTCGGATCGAACGGAACTCTGACGAAAATAATGCTTAAAAACGATTTCACGCTTTATTTTGACGTTATGTTCCCTTAGGCACGACCCACGACGACTCTTCTATCTTATCTATAACTCTCTCATATTTTAATTATTTAAATCATTTAAACGAAATTAGACGTCGATTAAAAATTAATCAATTTATTTGAAATTAAATATAATATAAATGAACATGATAATATAACTAAAGTCTTAATGAAAATCTTAAGAAAAAACAAAACAAAAAAAAATGCTAAAATAAAAATGAAATCGTTAATCAAATTGGTTCAACGGTATCTTTAAATCTTCAATACGAAAGTGTGGAAAAAAAAAAAGAAAAATGAACGAGCGTTATTTAGAAAACGTTCCTACGATCAGTCT